CCCCAAAACCCCAAAACCCCAAAACCCCAAAACCCCAAAACCCCAAAACCCCTTGTCCTGGCAATCTATTGAATTATTTTATTTATACTAATGTCTAGGAAGGCATCTGAAAGTAGCGAAGTGTTTAACAAGCATGAGGATTCAGAGGTAGCCACTCATTTACATACCTTTTTGTTAGAATTCCACACTTTTTGCATTAAAATTGTAAAGAATTTTTGGTACTTTGAGGGATTTTCAATCCAAAATTTTGTCTAAGATATCATACTAGGAAGTAATGAAGCTAGAACAGGACTCTTCAGCAAGTTCAAGTGCAAATTTAAGCCAAAACTCGCATGAATCAATTAAGAAAGCAAAGCATAGAGAGGAGAAATCACTAATTTTACGGTAATTTCTCATTCAAACATGCATAAACTAGCCAAGATAGGGTTTATAGCCCAGACAAAGCAAAGAAGTACATCCGTTCTTCTTCTCTTAGGAAAGCAGATTTGAAGAAAAGTAGCTTCTCTATGTCAGTTTTATAGGGGTTAAAGAGATGAAATAGGTCCTTTGAACGGAAGTCTGGAGGCAATCAAGTCCATTCAGATCGATGTAAGGTTTATTTTAAGAACCAGAGAGGCAAGGCTGGAGTAAGAAGGATCCAGAAGTTCCAGCTCCCTCCTCCTCAAGGTCTTATTAATCCCATGAAGATTTATAACCCAAAGGATCTTGCTATTCATGAGAAATACCAGAAATGGTCAAGTCGGATGAAGGAAGCTAGAAACCAGAATGATATCCTGGAAATCATCAATTCTTCTTTCGAGGAAGTAAGACAGTACGTTTTAAGTCTGATTTTGTAGCAAGGAAAATTCCAAAATAAATAATTCTGTCATGAAGTAAGTCGCTTCTACTGATTACTAGGCCTGCAAACCCTATGGTAAGCACGGATAGCCTGAAGCTAACCCCTCGAAGTCCTAAGATGGCTCGGACTTCTAAGAATAAGAGCACTCTGGGGTACATCAAGAGGTCTAAATTATCCAAATTTTCTGGCAACTTTAATAATTCCACGATTTCTAGTAGAAAGTTTAAAGCCTCAAATTCTGTTGCCAGAGCCCCCAGAAGTGTGGTTCTTAGGGTAAGTTTTAGTAACAACGTCGTAGGAGAAAGTGCTGAGGCATAAATAAGGCGAGTCTAGAGCCGCCAAAAGGAGACCAGCTAGACTGGAATTCGGATATTTCAATCACTAATATTGAATACAAGCTGGCTGATGCCCTCCAATTCTCGATTGATCGAAAAGACTCTCCCTTAAAGTCTATCCAAAAGACCTATGTCCGTAGGAAATCTCCAATGGAGCTGAAGAAGATGTCTGAGATCTTGCAGTTGAGGTATCTGAAGCTCACTGATTCTTACGGAAAGCTTGAGGCCACTGGTCGCAAGGAGGCCAAACAAAGATCTCCGAAGAAGTTAATCAAATACCAAGATGATTCCAAAGGAATATTCCAGCAAAAGCTGGAATTGCTCAAGCAGAATATGAAGAAGGAGTACTTCAAGGAGGTGAGCACTGTAAAGGCGAAGAATGGGTATAAAGGTAAACTCCAACCAGAATAAATCTTTAGGCACGGACAAGAAGATACATGTGCCAAAACCTCCTCTTAACTTCCAGTATGAGGCTCTGCCTCAGATTCAGTAAGCTATTACTCCTAATTTGGCTTTAGTGGTAGCATAACGCCAATGGAAAACGAGACCTCGAAGGAAAACATGTTGAAGATATCCGAGAAGGGGTTTACCTTATCCCTTCCTAACCATTTGAAAGCAATGAAGACCTCCTTGGAGATGGTGGTTGATGCCCCTAAGAGGCATGGACAAGGGACTTAGGCTACATTGTGTTTCAATCTTTGGAAACCTTTTAGGGGTTTTGGGGTTTTGGGGTTTTGGGG